TTCCATTGGAAAGAGGGCTGGGGGGGCTGCAGGGTGATGGGGGAAGGGGGGGAAGAGGTGCAGCAGCCTTGCCCTGAAGGGGTGACCAGCACCTGCAGAGCTCAGGGTGTCCCCTTTACCGCTGCGTCCTTCATCCCTCCAGGTACCAGCAGTGGAGGACATAGACAAGGAGCAGCTGGGTGACCCCTACGCCAATGCAGAGTATGCCAAGGACATCTTTGAATACATGCGGGGAAGAGAGGTGGGTGATGCCTGGCCAGGGGGTGGCAGCCCAGTCTGGGGAAGGGGTGGCCATGTGGGTAGGGCCACCCACTGCCCAGAGGTTCTGAGTGCCTGGCAGGAGCCTGCATGGGGTGGGAGGGGGCTTGTTTGAGAGTGGTGGTGTCCGGTGAGCCTCTGACAGCTGGTACCTCGGCAGGAGAAATTCATGCTCCCTGACTACATGGAGAAGCAGCCAGACATCAGTGGGGACATGCGTGCCATCCTGGTGGACTGGATGGTGGAGGTACAGGTATGTGGGCATGGGGAGAGCATGTGGGCCTTCTGCAGAGCAGCCCCTACCCTGCCTTTGGCATGTGGGACCTCAGTGTGATGGCAGAGGCTCTTGCAAGTGTCCCCAGTGCAGAGCTGATGTTCCCCTTCTCTAGGCTGGGGATGAGCTTGCATCCCTCCCTCCAAGCCTGGTCCTGTGGGCACCTCTGGCCCCTGTTGAGGGAACCTGGGGGACCAGGTGGGCCTAGCTGCTTCATGACACCCCCCTTCCCCCTTCCTGCATCACTGCAGGAGAACTTTGAGCTGAACCATGAGACGCTGTACCTGGCTGTGAAGCTAGTGGACCACTACCTGGTGGAGGTGGTGAGCATGAGGGACAAGCTGCAGCTCATCGGCTCCACCGCCATCCTCATTGCCTCCAAATTTGAGGTAACTCCTCGCATGCTGTCTTGGGGTGCTGGGGCAGAGGGAGCTGTGCCTTTTTGGTCCCCATGGGTGGTTAAAGAAGGCCAGGTCCCTGTGGTGACAGGCCACTGCCCTGAGAGCTGCTGGGGCAGCATGTCCGTCCTCGTGTTCCCCTCAAGCAAGCAAGGCTTGGAGTTGGAGCTGAGGGCTGGGGCAATACAGACAACACACGAGCCCCACTGGGTGTTGTAATAGTCCTTTTGGGGTCTGGCAGGCCACAGGGGTCTGCAGACTGGTGGACTTTCCTGAGCGTGGCCAGAATGAGCCTCCATTAGGGTGCTGAGCAGTTGTGCCCTGGCAGGAGCGGTGCCCACCGTGCGTGGATGACTTCCTCTACATCTGCGACGACGCTTACAAGCGGGAAGAGCTCATTGCTATGGAGATAAGCATCCTTAGCACCCTCAAGTTTGACATCAACATCCCCATTGCCTACCGGTTCCTGCGACGCTTTGCCAAGGTGGGCACAATAGGCGGGCAGGCTGCTTTCAAGGTGCCTCCGGGCACCGCTTATGTTGGCTCTCTGGGGTGGCCATGTGCATCCCCGGGACCCTGGGCTCCCAGCTGGCACCAAGGAGGGTTTGGCCAGGTCCTCCTGACAGGGCTGAGAGGTGAAGATGCTGGTCTGTGGCAGGCTGGGATCTGTGTCCTGTGCCCCAGGGGCAGCACTCTAGATCCCAAAAAGTTAGGGCGGGGCAGGGGGGCAGTGTTGCTCAAAAGGCTGAGCCTTTCCCTGCCTGCCTGGCTGTAGTGTGCCCGTGCCACCATGGAGACTCTGACGCTGGCCCGATTCCTCTGTGAGATGACCCTGCAGGAGTATGACTATGCCCGCGAGAGCCCCTCCAAGCTGGCTGCCAGCTGCCTGCTGCTAGCGCTCATCATGAAGAACCTTGGTGGCTGGGTAAGCGCCTTCCCAACCCCCTGTCCTGGCCCCCCTGCCCTGAAGCACCACAGGGCTGCAGGAGTGGATGGACTGTTGGGTGGGGGTGATGCTCTAGGGCTATGCTCAGATTTGGGAGGCTGGAGAGGGAAAATGATGGCTGTACCATCTCTGAGAGGACCTAGCTCAGCCCTGTTGTCCCTTTGCAGTCCCCCACGCTGGAGTACTACAGTGGGTACCACTCCCAGGACCTGCATCCCCTGGTGAAGAGGCTGAATTTCCTGCTCACATACCAGCCCCATGACAAGCTGAAGGCTGTGCGCACCAAGTACTCACACAGGTGAGCATCATGGGTCTCTGCCTCCTGCCTGTCCGCTCTGCAGAGCACCCTTGACTGCTGTGGAGAGCTGGGGCCCCTGTGGGTGGGTGTCAGGGCTGTGGCTGAGCTCTAAGCCAACATGCTTCCTTCCAGGGTTTTCTTTGAGGTTGCCAAAGTCACCCCCATGGACATGCTCAAGCTGGAGGAGATACTGAAGAGCTGCTAGTCCTGTCTCTGTAAATAGCCTGTAAATAGCTGGGTGCTCTCTGGCAGGGGAGCACCATGTACATAAATAATAGCAATTTTAACTGAAGGGGAGGGGGGGAAAAAAAGTCATGTGAATCTGTTAATAAAATGTTGTTTGTCTTATGGGCTGGTGCTGGCTGTTGAGACACAGGGGTAGGGAACGGTGGTGGAGCTTGTGCTGAGCCCCTGAGCTGTGGTTCCCTTTGCTGTGTTGGGGCAGAGGGTGAGTAGGGGGGGTTGCATGATGGGGAGCAGGCTGGGGTGATAGCAGGACACTGAGGGGTGAAGGCTGGAAGGGTCCAGGTCCCCGTCAACTTCCCCACACCTCTTGCCCGCCCCAAAGTAACAACACCACACGAGCAGCAGCAATGAGTATCTTTTCTCCAACTATTTACACAGCTTAAATACCCATGTGGGGAAGGGGCATCATACTTTGGCCCCAGCCTGGGCACACGTGGCAGCCCAAGCTCCTGTAGTGACCCTGCCGTGGGCTGGGCTGGGGGTCACGCCACACTGCCTGTGGGGCTAGACCTCTGCTTTAGTGTTTCCAGCCCCACAGGCTTGGGGAGAAGCAGCGGCTCCAGGGACACTGGGGGGACAAACAGACGAAGCAAGACAAGCAGGGGGGCTCCACACACATGGGGCATGGTGGGGACCAGGAGCCCCCCCTGCCTCACCCCTGGTCCGAGGGGCAGCGCTGGCCTAGGGCGGGTTGCTGAGCTCCTTAATGGCCTGGAGGATTCTCTTCATGTGGCCCACTTTGGTGATCCCTAGGTCCTGCAGGGAGGAGAGAGGGAAGCCAACATGCTGGTGGGGGTCCAGCCTGAGGCTCTGTCTGGCAGGCAAGCTGCAGAGGGCGATGAAGCTGCAAAGCCTGGCTCCTCATGCTCTCTCTGCCAGGGCACGGCAAGCATGTGCCTGTGCTGGGGTGCAGGAGAGGGCATGGCACTATTGATCCCACTTTGGGCAGGTGTACAGAGCCTCACAAGCTGGGGGCAGGGCCACCCCCCTTCCCTGCGGCCAAGCAAAGCAAGCGGGGCAAGCTCAGCCGATGGGCATGGGTGCAGGGTTGGCACCAGCCTTCTCCACGCCATGGGGGATGGGGAGATGAAGGATGGAGGACACAGTGTTCCCCAGGGCTGGGGGTCCCTCAGGGGGCACAAGGAGCGTTGTACCTTCAGGTCTCTCCTCTCCAGCAGGATCAACTCAGAGCCCTGGATGTCATGCCGGACAAAAATGTCTCTGTACTCCCCTAAACCGAGCGCTTCCAGCCAAGCTGCCACATCCTCGGAGCCCCACTTGTCCGCTAGCAGGGAGGAAAACCACAGAGGTGGACGGGGCTTGGTGCAGGCAGCCAGGGGCGGCAGGGCAGGCAGCAGGCAGCCCAGGGCAGCAGTGGCGGCAGGCTGCAGCCAGCACCCCCTCCTCCCACCCACATGGCCGGAGGCCACAGCAGGCTCAGGCTGGAGAGGTTTCTCCTCTCCTTGGCTTACTTACGGAGCATCCGAGCTTCTCCCCCTTGCCAAGACCCCCAGCCCTGAGGCAGGGACTTACCCAAAGGGCTGAGCGGTACCATAGCCCCCTTCTCCCCCTCGCAGTGGTGGTGGAGTTACAGGGCTGGGGGGGCTCCGCATGTCCGTTAGCAGAAAAAATAAGCTCTAAGGTGCTGTTGGTGACAAAGGGCACATCCCCAGGCAGCCAGGACATGCCCTTTCCCCCTCCCAGAGGGTCCCTCCACAGCATGCCCAGGGCGAGAGGCCGATGAGTAGGTCAGCACAGGGCGGTCACTACCGGCATGGGCTGTGCCTGTCTCCCTCCCTGGGATGCTGCCCACTTTACCTGGGAGCACGCTGTTGGTCTTCTGCTTTTGCATCTTGTCTTTGTCCTTCCTGGGCTTGGGGATGTTGAGGCGAAGCTTGAAGCTGCCCTTGTTGGCGCTGCCAGCGCTTTCCTGCGAGAAGCCAGGCTAAGAGGGGTGCTGGGGCTGCCTGGTGGGAGATGCTCCCCCTCCCCGGGCCCTGGGCACCCACCTCCTCAGCAGGGTGGGCAATGGGCCCCAGCCAGTGGATGTCCAGCAGTCTCTGCAGCTCCTGGCCCAGCACGTTCAGGGGACCATGCAGTGCCTCCTCCTCCTGCGGCGAGTCCAGCTGGAGGGGACAAGGACCATCCCCAGCCCTGCTGCCACCA